TATATATATATATATATATAGAGAGAGAGAGAGAGAGAGAGAGAGTTCAGGCTCTGATGAAGCTTGCCAATGAAAACATATCAGACGTTGGAGGCATGGTTAATTAAAAATTCTTAGTTGTTTATTACATGGGAAAATAAAAGCCCATCAATAACCAGTAACAGATTTTAATAACCAGTAACAGAGTTAATTTTCAGTGCGGGAACAATTAAAAGTAATTCAGTTTCATTTTCCATCTTAATGAAATATCATTTGATTCCAGTTTCTGTTTTCATTCATCAAACCTGATTCGATGAAACTATTACACAATTGTAAACATTTTATTTTACATGATCATCGTTCTGATGTGTTGTTTTTAAACACTCAGTTCTTCTAAATTTGGTTTCTTTGCAATGGTCAGTTTCTTTACCATCGCTTAGTTTCAATGTTTTCAATGTGTCAGCATTTGTGTCAACCACACAGTCACAAGTGAAGAGGGTAAGAGACTCATTTCCCACCACACAATTTATAACAAATGTGGAAGTGGTGCCCCAGCAGAGGAAGTGATGTCACAGAGAAGCACCAATGTTTGAATAAAAGCATCAAGTTACAATAAGCCCTAAAGAGAGAGGGGAGAGCAACCTGATCTTGTAGAACCTGTTTGACTTCTTTGATCCTTATCAGTTGTTTCAGGTCTAACAAAAGGAGTATATAACTGCAGAATACACTTCAGAAGATGCAGAGTTTCAGGCTCTCCCTCTCCTGGATGGTATGCCTGCTCGTGAGGCTCGCCGCTCTTGCTCATTCTGTCAGGGCTGAGGTGGGTTCGTTCTCCTCCTGCCTTCAGTTTTTCCACAAGAGGTCTTCGCCACACGGCCTAGAGGGCCCAGGCTATTCGCAGATATGCCAGCGCTATGAAAACACATACCATTTTGCAAGCCTCTACCGCAAGCAGTGGCGGACCCCGATCTACTCTGCGTACGTGTTCACCTCGGGGGGCAAGAAGAGGTCTAGAGTTCCATGGATGTACGAACCGCAGGTGAGAAAATAATGACTAATGGGTTATAATGAGGAATGTTGTGGTTGGTTACTGCAAATCCGGGGGTGACTTTCAGAGATATTCTGAAATGGCTCAGCTAACTAGCACACTTTGACAGGCATAACATCATAGATGTTACTGTGTCTGTTATTTGAGGAGTAGCTTTGCCGGTTGGTCATTGAGTAATCTCTGAGTTCACAGGCTCTGTCTGGCTACTTCACTTGTGAATTGTATTAGTGGTTTGCCTTTATTAAAAAGCGTTTTCCCTGTAGACATGGAATCAAACGTTCTGTGATATATATACTATGTATGGCGATAAATAAGCAAATATGCATACTTTGTAAATGCACTTAAAATGTCTAGGCAGCTGAAAGCATTGTTACAGACCACTAAATCACAATGTAATAAGTTTCACTAAAATGTGTCCTTGTGTATTTAATAGAATTTCCTCATAACTGAATTACGACTGGCCATTCATTTCCTAACTACTTTTAGTACTTTAATAAAACTAGGAACTTGCAGAAAAAATATTTTAGAAAAGAAAAACTGAAAGTTTTTCCTGGGTTTTTTTCTGACAGCTGGCCAACTCTAGAGCTAGGCCTGAGATGGAACCCATTCCTCCAAATATGACAGACCAGAACGTTCTGGAGAGCCAGGCTGTACTGCAGGATTACAAGAACTCCACGTTTACCAAGGGCCACCTGAGTCCTAACTCACATCACCAGGAAGATTGGGACAAGAAGGCAACTTTCACTCTCACCAACATAGTGCCACAGAAAGCTGGCTCCAATTCTGGCCCGTGGGCTGTGCTGGAGAATGAGGTGGCGGCCAGATTAACCGCTTACTGCACTGGGCCGGCGTACATTGTAACCGGGGTACTGCCATATGTCTCGCCCCACTGGATTCGCAACCGTGTGGCCGTGCCTGAGTACCTATGGTCAGCCTACTGCTGCCCCTCCTTCAGCTCCAACCTCCCAGAACCCCTCCGCGACACTTTTCCAACGTTCGCCGCCATCGGCCGGAACGACCGTCTCAGCACCCAGGACATTGTGCCGGTGAACCCCAAGGCCCCCGCTTCCACCAGGGGCTACGACGTGAGGCGGATGTCCCTCGAGACGCTGGAGGGGTATCTGAGAGCGCGGCTGGGTCTCCCTGTCAATGTCTTCCTTGACCAGTGCTTGTAAGACCACCGATTACGAATGCAGAAATGCCAATCGCCCCCTGCAGTCACACAACTGCCTGCACTGCATTTAAATGCTTTAATATATATTTCATAGGATCTATATGTAGAAATCTATTATATTTTATAATAGATTCTATATATTTTCCCATTATCTATTATTGCTTGAATTCTATTGTTTATGTATTTGTATTTTGTCACCTTTTATGAAATGATTGTGGTAGTGCACAAGTATTAATTGTTAACTATGTGTCTTGCTTTTTTATATACTATCTATACAGTTTATATACTATCTATACAGTTTATATACTATCTATACAGTTACCCTTTTTCATGTAGTACCTAAATACACCCCCCATGTCAGTTCCCATGTCAGGAGAAAGAAATAGCTAAATAAAATATAATAAATTAGAAAAATACTTTTATTCTTGGGTAGTACAGAAAAAAAGTACATTAACTAAACAAATCCAGTTCATGCAATTTAATGTAGAATTTAAAAAATATTACTTTGCATGTTTTAAATAAAATAAGTAATTAGCATTATGTAAATAATTGTACATTTAGTGCAACAACTACAGAATGGAAGGTTATGGTTCTGTCCGGGGGTGGGCAATACAGCCAAAATATCACAATATTTTTGACTGGACTCAAGATCCACAATATAGAACAGAGGTGGGCGATAAATCGATTTTATCGATTAATTCGAATTTACAGTTCAGCACGATGTGTTTTTATGAAAATCGATTTAGTACTTATTTTACACGCGAGCGCCAAAAGCGGAACTAATGCGACGCACCGTTCTTCACGGGTATATTAGCGCGCGCACCCAAACACTCTAGCGGATTCACAAACATCATGGCAATTGTTCGGTTTTGCGCCGTCGGACACAGACCAAACAAGTCCTCGTCCAAGTCTGTTCAAAAACTGTAGCAACCAATGGAAGCAGCACGACAAATTTATTCCAGCACCTAAAGCAGAGGCACACAGCGGAGTGGGAGAAGTGCAGCTCCCAGCGAAATGAAAATACCCGCAGCACCAGCACAACGTCCAAAGTTAAGCAAGCAACCGTCCCTGACACGTTTTCGAACTGTGTGCCATATGATAATAAGTGCCCATACATACTGTGGAAAAGCCGGGATTCATTAACATGCTAAGAGTTTTTACAAGTTTCCAAAAGCGTTTACAGTGGCGTGGTCTGCCATCTCACTCACAAGCATCTTTTTTGGCTTGTCAGATTGCACTTTAACTGTAAAGTTAAAAAAAAATAATAATAAAGTTAAAACTTGTTTTTAACCATTTATTTGTCATCTGTAGTTTGATTTTGAGTATGGGAGGGGAAAATCGATTAAAATCGAATTTATGAAAAAATCAGATTTTATTTTTAGGCCATATCGCCCAGCTCTAATATAGATCAGAAATTTTCGTCCAAGTCCACTACCTATGTGTGAAGTAGTGTTTTTTGAGATGCGCTGACTGGGTGAAGCACCTACCACACAGATGGCAGGTGTATGGTTTCTCACCAGTATGGATTCGCTTGTGCCTCTTGAAATTGCCTCGGTCCCGGAAGCTCTTGCCACAGTGAGTACAGAGGTGCTTCTTCTCCCCAGAGTGGTCCTTCAGGTGCATGTTCAGCATCCTCTTGTGCTTGAACTGCCTCCCACAGGTTCTGCAGCCATACGGCATCTCTCCCGTGTGCTTGCGTAAATGAATGGTCAGATCCAACTTGAACATGAAGGTCTTGTCACAGTACTTGCAGGTGTGCATCCTTTCACTTGAATGAATCAGCTGGTGCTTTGTGAGACTGAACTGATACACGAAGCGTTTCCCGCACTGTGAGCACTGGTGCAGCCTCTTCCCCAAATGGACCTGACTGTGTCTGTTGAGCCCTTGCAAGCTGGCGCACGCTTTCCCACACTGAATACAGGAATATGGCTTCTCTCCAGTATGAATGCTCTGGTGGGCTACAACACCTCGCTGGTTGTGGAAATGACGTTGCCGTGGTTTGCGTTGGGCCACGTCACGTTCCATCATTACTGCTTTGTCAGCCCCCACAGCCGACAGCTCAGCCACACCTCCAGCCGGGACAAAATGCACAAAGACCTCGTCAGCCCTCGAAAAGCTTCCGAGAGTCTTACAGCTGGCGTCCTCTTCTGTGTAGGGGCCAAACTGTGTATCTGAGTCACTCAGCCAAGTGAGCCGATGCCCATCGATAGCCACATGACTATCCTCCTCACTGCACACAGGCCAGAACTCACTGGTTCTCTCTTTATTACTATCTGTGGTATTATTCTGGGCTTTTGCCTGGTGGGCTGCATGTAGGTCTTGCTCATTGCTGGACTCGGTCTTATGAATCTCACAGAACTCCTGTGTGTCAGTACAAGCGTGTGTTTTACCTCCAGTGGCTGGTGTGTCTTCCCCATCATCATAGTCGTCCATTAAAGGTTCTACAATGAAAAATGAGTAATGAGGCTACCACATAGTGAAAAGTCATCCTGAAGGTAAATACAGGTAGGCTAAAAAAAATCATGTGCCTATTAACCATAGAGGTATTTCAACAATTTTCACAAATTATTACTTGGATAATTGAGGAGTGGAATATATCTAGGCTAAGACAATCCTCCAAATCCTCTGTTTTCTGTAACCAAAAGGTAATTTGTGGCACATTGTGACTAGTTATGTCCCCGTTAGACTGTCTACTGACCAATGTCTGGCTTCCATGTTCCTCCATTTCTGACAAAAAAGACCTCATGAATTTCAAAGACAAGACACTCAATCACAGTTAAAACTATTCTTCAAAACACTGTAATGTGACATAGCCTATATGTTCCTCACTGTCCATTGACGTTCCATTGGCTGGATCTCGGTTGATAGATGGCACTTCGCATAGCTGCTTACTGACCACAGACAAGCCAGACATGCACTCCTCAGGGTCACTCTCCTGAAAGAGAAATGATGTATTGAGACTGAAACTGTCTACTGACATGGTCAGCATTAGTTCCCTTGTTACTGACCTCTTGTTTAATAAGCACAGACTCTATTCTGGGAACCTCCTCCTTCATGGGCATAGTCTCCAGCCCCCTAGTCGGAGCTGTGGTACCACCACACGGCCTTGGTGAGCATGTTTCTGAGCACAGGAGTTAATTATTATAGCACAGTCAACATAAGATAATTCATAACACAGTTAACACACATTAGTAGTAAACTCTTGGGAGTCCAATTCCATTTTATTTTTGCCATCTACAGGTTTCATATCCTCTGTCTTTCGCGGAAAAGGTGTCATAGAACATGTTTTTGTTAGTTTTACCTGATGTGTAATTACTGTCAACTTGTTACATAATTTATTTCCAAATACTTCTTTTCGACGTAGAAACAGAACGAAGTCATCACATTTTAATCATCAAAAAGAAGCAAAGATCACAGGCGTACTATTTATTAATACAAAATAAGCCCATTTAAAACTCGAGGTGTCACCTTTATGTTTTCCGCCATTTACGCTCTCGAGACCGAGGCAGCCTCCATCATCCTCCCGCGAGCTCGGGCGCGTGCCGCCCATAGACATCAGACTTGATTTCAGATTTTCATTTTCTTCTTTAATAATAGCTATTTCAGCCCTCAGCTGGAAGACTCCCGTTTCAAAAAGTTTTGTTGCTTCACACATAACCGATTTGACTAAAACTTCCATAACACTGCCGAGCTGAAATTGAAAATCCAGCAAGTTTTCAGACATAGTTTCCTTCGTTTGTGCAACAGGTGTAAATTAATCTGTCCTGAGTTTCTTTTCGTCTTAATTTTAAACAAATCCTAGATCGTCCTCCTAAATAACAGCTCTGCTGACCCGGAAGCACTTCCCATATGAAAATGTGTGCCTTACCGTATTACTTGGATGATACAGCTCAGGCTAATGTGTTCTACAGAATGACTGAGCCTAAAACTTCAGTTTCTACGTCTCGATGAGGAATGCCCGCAGCAGGTAATCCAGCCAAACATTATACACTAAAGAAATTCGTGAAGTCTGGGACATTTTCAAACAAATATAATATTTTACATTTATTAATGTTACCTAATATGCATGAAATAAAACGAAAGGGCAATCTGTACATAACAGCAACATTAATTATCGAAAACAGTGGTATACATTTTCTCTGATGAATATGAAACTGAGCTGATAAAATCTAAGCATTATAAAATATTAGGCCATTTTTCTTAGAATCCAAAACAAATCCAGCACTGTCATTTACATCACAAAATACACCTATGAATTTCTTCTACATGACTTAACTGATTTACACAAGGGAAGCACCCGTAAGGTCTCTCCCGGGTGTGAATACGCTGGTGTCGCTCCAGATTGCCCAGGCGGCTGAAATTGCTGTCCCTGTCAGCTAGCCATATAACATAACACAATGATCAGAACAGAAGATCAGCCATGTGCCCATGCAACTGATGATTACTCAGTGAAGTCCATCATAGATTCATAGATGGAGATTAAGTCCTTGGGAATAACATGTTTCAGTTCTTGCAGGTGTTTGAACTTAGCTATTTAATGGCCTGTCGGGGTGGTTAGTGTGTTCACAGTGCTCTTCTTCATTAGAGGTGGCAAGGGATACGGTTCCCAGCAAATGAGTATTTTTTTTTTTGTTTTTTTTTAACTCCATAGTGCCATCCATGTTGTACCTAGAGAACAGACGGATGGGGAAAAAAATGGGAAGAGGAAAGAAGGACAGTGGACAGAGATGGAGGAGATCAAAAGTCAGGTTTTAACTGATTACATGTCGAACACAGAAGGAAATATTTGGCAAGTATGTACAGTACCAGTCAAAAGTCTGGACATGCCGAGCTGCCTACAAAAGAGAGCACAGAAGTGGTTTTGGAAGAGTTTGACCAGAATGAAGGCAAAGCTAACAATGAGGACTTAGGGTATCTGGCACCTCCTTCAGGACAGCTGGAAAAGAACAACAAGAAGCCAAATGGCGTAGAGACAGCAGGGCAGGGCTCTTCAAAACAGGCCCTCGATTCCAAATCCAGGCCTTGTTTTCAATTCTATCAGGTAGTTAGTTTAATAATTACTGATTCTGATTGGTCAGAGGCTTCACACCTGGCTCACAGGTAAAGGAAGGCTGGAAAACCTGCAGTGCTCAGACCTCGAGGACTGTGATTTTTGTAGTGGAAGCTAAAACCATGGGTTCCTTTAAATCAGAGCTAGATAAGATTTTAACAACTCTGAGCTATTAACTAAGTTCTCCCCAAACGAGCTTGATGGGCCGAATGGCCTCCTCTCGTTTGTAAATTTCTTATGTTCTTATGTAACCCTGTAGTAGGGTCAGCCAGTCCCTGAATCAATTGGGGTTAAGGGCCTCGCTCAAGGGCTCTTGATGGGATCACTCTGCAAACCCAGGGGTTTTAACTGCAGACTTTCTGAGTCCCAACCCACAGAGCTGCCCTCAACCTAATTTATTCTTTTTCGTTTAATACTTTTTTGGTAAGTGAATAATTCCATGTTATTTTATAGTTTTAATGTCTTTTTGCTGGGTTGATTCCTGCCTTGCACCAGTAGCCTCCGCGATGGGCTTCTGACTGCCCACGACCCTGAATAGGACAAGCACTTTTGGAAAATAGATGGATGATGTCTTCATGCTAAAATGTAGAGGATACCTACAAGCCTTTCTATGGGTGGTTGAGTCCAGACTTTTGACTAGTACTGTACATGTGTGATAAAAAAGCTGAGGTCATGCACCATAGGATCTCCAGATTTTTTCCCACTTTAGATTTACACAGCTTCAGATTGCTTAAGTCCCTAAAGAACGTTTATCCACATTCCTCACACAGAACTGGAGCGAGCTCCCTGCATCCTCAACTGGAACATAAATGTTTCAGTCTTGTAACCTCCTCTCAATCATGCCGTGTACTCAATCACACTCCATTTGCATATGACCCCTTTCAAGGTACTTGTGCATCATTGCCTTCTGCTTTACAGTTGCAAATTTCAAAAGTACATTACTTAAAGCCAAGTTTCAGGTATCCACACCCATCACTCTAATGTACTCTAAACAGGAGCTGTTTTGCCTCAAGAAAGTAAACTATAAACGAAGCAAAATCGTTGGCAGAAAGACCAGCTTCGCCCTCATGCCGCAAGTAAATTGTGACGTAATGGAATGTCATGTCAAAGATGGTGAAGTTGTGGATTCCAATCGTGATCCTGGAACACAGGGCAGAGGCTTGTGGCAGAGCAGGAGTTCCTGTAGGTGCACACTTGCCTCCAAGGTTCTCACCTGCCTGCTCCTTGTCGTCTTGCTGCAGAGCACATGCCGTGTGGTTTCTTCATAGCGACACTCCTCCCATGTAGAAGCATCACGGTTCCCAGCGTTGCACCGCCGGTGTCGCAGTCTTTGGATGAAAAAAAGACCAATTGAACTCATTGAAAATGTTGGAGAATGCTTGCTTTTACAGACTCTAGATGCCGTGTTCGGCAAAAGAGCACATGTACTCTTTGTGGAGGTGACTAACAGACTTGAACATGGGCTTCGGGTACATCTGTGGAACTTTTGGAATGCTCTGAAGGAGGGATTTCAAGACGTCCTGTTCTTCTATCCTCACCGTCACCCTCTGAAGTCTTCTCAGCACTTTCTCTTCCCCTTTGTACCCATTAAAAAAACCCACTATTTTATCCCCAGGGTTGACAGGAACATGCGCTGACATATTTGGGTCCTTTTTCCTTCTACAAAAATGTAATAAAAAAAATAGATGCCAACCTTCTTGATTCTTTGCCTTCTGTCTGCCACCTCTTCACACTGCTAACCTCCACCAATGACTTAAATGAACCAATGAAATAAAAATATTTCCTGTTCAGTCAGTCTAATTTCCCCCAGAAGTACTTAAAAAATCTCCTCCCTCTTCGATGAATCTACTGTTTCGAGGTGAAGCTTAGACTTCTGGCAGGCCGCAGGCTGGCATGGCAACCCCATTTTCTTTTCCTCCTTCAACACTTCTTAATTCTTCCTCCTGAGGTAAGATTGGCCAATCAGTCTCCTCCTTTTCTGGATATTCACTTTCCAGGTCTCTGGATTCACTATCTTCCTCTGCCTTCCTCGACGAGTCTCACCATATGGGGAGTCCAACTCCTTCACCTTGTCTTTCTCCCTCTGGTTTGAAGAAAACAAATAAAAAAGAAACATTCTGTAAATTAATGTCATTCTCAGCTTTGCCAATACGCAAAAGTGAGTATGTGGGGGTCACTCTCTCTCCCTGTGTGTCTCTACACCAGTTTGCGTGCAAACCTGTGAATCTGTGGCTGGATGAACTGTAAGCAAGCCAACTAGTAAACATGCAGCATTCACTCTACTATACTATACTTAAGCTATTAATAATACTACCTTCATTTCTAGATTAATCCTAGACAACGGCAGTAGGAGATTCGTCCAGATTATATTCAAGTGAAGCATCTTGACAAGATAGAGAGCAACATATTTCATACACTGAATACAATGTTGGTGATATTCAATGCTACTAAGAGCTTACAATGGCTGACTTAACCCTGATTTTACACTGCTGACTAGTTCCCTTGCCTCAGAATATAGATTTCCTCAGAGTTCTCTGACTTCCTCCCACAATTCTCCCTGGTGACTTAAAACTGAACTCACAATTAACAGTGTCCCTCAGACTGGCATTTCTATATTGTTTGCATTTATCTATATCAGTGGTTCCCAACTGGGGGGTCGCGACCCAAAAGTGGCCATGTAACCATTTTCAGTGGGTCACGGATTCAAAAAAATATTTTTTATGTATGGTTCTTTGTGACCCATCCAGAACCATCCAAAATACATATCTGTAGTATGGATGGTTCTTTGTGACCTGAATGCATGTTTCTGAGCATGTGAATTATTACAGTGTCATAATATAGTTTACAACATAACACAGCTTAGCTGTAACTACTTACAACAGATTTTAATAAATGCAAATGAAGGAACACATAATCTTGGGGTAATATGCTCATAGTGTGCTTCGATTTGATTTTTGTCTACAGGGTTTATAAACCGTGCCCTTCGAAGGTGTCGCTAAACATATTTATGTTAGTTTTACCTAGTAAACAATTTAATTTAGGAATACAAAGAGAAAAAGGACAGCAGTATTTAGGTATATTTTAAGTTAAAAAAAAAAACATTTAAAACGAGGAAAGCTGACTGCCGTCCTGCTTACAGATTAAGCCAACATAACACACATAGGTGTTACCTTCACATTTCTCGCCGTCTACGTTCTCAGGTTTGAGGCAGCCTCCAGCATCCTCCGAAGACTTCACCCTCGATTTCAGATTTTCGTTCTTTTTTTGATATTGGCCATTTCAACCCTCAGGTGGATGACGCTTGAGGGTGAGGGTAAAATGCGGACCGTTCACACACAGCCGCTTTGACTAAAACTTTCGTAACAGCGGAGAGCTGTGACTGAAAGTCGAGTAAATTTTCAGACATACTTTCCTCCGTTTGTGCAAAATTAATTACTCCCGAATTTCTTTTCGTCTCTATGTTAAACAATCCCAAAACACTAGCAGCCATCCCCTAGGTATTCACACGTTACAGATTTGCTTTTCGCTTCCTACCCCTCACCCGGAAGTACTTTCAATGTGACACCATTCCCACTACCGTATTACTTGTAATATACAGCGGTCCTCCTCGGCCTAATTGAAGCTAAAAGTTTACTGTTCTTCATCTCTTGTTAAGCTTGTTATACTCAGTACAAAGAAAATTAATTCCTTAATTCCAAATATTCTACAGAAAAGCATGAATGGAAGTCAGGGTCATTTCAAGCCAATATAACATTTTACATTTATTAATGTAATATGCAAGAAATAATACAAAAGAGAAAATTTGTATTAAAC